CCGTTTCCTAACGACAGCATTGCTTACTCGGTTGTCCCACGAAATACGAGCAACGCTTCTTAAACATCTATGATCGAATACTAGTAACCTACAGAAGTCCTCTACTCTTAACGGCTATGATTCACAGCCATATAGGACGGAGCGAACTGCTACATGGTACACTCGTCCTTTGGTTAGCAAATGGATATCACGCCTACGCCATAAGTGACGCCGTTTGGCAAAAGCCAATCGAGCCTTCTGTATCCGTGCTGAGATTTCGTCAGTCACTAGGCTATCAGCACTGATGAGACTCCCTAGATAAGTGAAGTGATCAACACGCTTAACTACTTTACTCCCTATCACTAGTTCAGGTACCGATGCAACCCAATCTTGAAGCAACATTTTACATTTTGAGGGGGAAAGCCGCATCCCGAACATGCTCGCATTGTTGCTTATGGTAGTCAGAAGACTCTGCATTTTGTCAGCACTCAGATTAGATATACTATCTAAAGCTATACATTTTCATATTGTTGATAACATCTTAATGTTGTTCTTTTTTACACATCTATTATCTATTATATTAATTAATGTGATTCGATTAGTTCTAATGATGTATTTTTTTTACTTTCTGGATAATATTTATTTAGTTTTTCATTATTTCAAGTACTGCCAGCATTGGATGTATCATACTTAGCCTGTATGTTTCTGGCGTCACTTTAGCTTATATAACTCTCAATATTTGTCTAATTCTACCAACTCTAATCCAACATCGTGTAATTTCTCGTGCCTGGAATGCAATCAAACCTATTTTAGCGCGTATTGAAGCGGAATTCGATAAAAACCCACTGGAATCTCCGGAAGAACGTGATGCTGGTGAACGAGAAATCTATGAGCCAATTGTTGCAGCTGCAAATGCTGCAAGTTCTTCTGTATGCCCTGTTGGATTTCCAACAGATCTACCCATAAAACAAGAATCTGACGAAGTAGAATCAGATGAATTAGATAATTCTGAAGCTGTGTTTATCAAACAATTTGGTAGGTTGTAAATGTTTTGCAATTTAGAAGTAGATTTAGCTAGCGTCTCCTAATCTATGTAGATAATGTAATGCTTTTTAGGCTTCTATTCGATGTATTTTTGATTAAATTCATCCTTGATTGCTATTTTTTTACAATTTATCAATGGTAAAAATACAAAACTATTCAGAATAATGTATCCTCAGTCACAAGTTATAGTTTGACAATGTGATCACGTCCTGACTGACTTAATAAAGGTCTGTAACCTTACACCTATTGTGCAATTGTGAATTATACTAGCCAATTAACGTGAGTGCTAAACGTGTCAGCTGAATATGAATTCCTAGTAAAATAGTCAGAAGAAGAAGACAACTTCTCTCAGGTGAAACACCAGAAACACCAGATAAACACCAGATAACCTTATCGGCTAAATTCTAAACAAACTATTCATACCGACAAATCCTTTTTCGGTGTCGAACCAGACATCCAAAAAAGGTTTGGTATTACTAAACCGGTTTCCTTGATAAGGTGGAACAGTTTTCGACTGTTACCTATCGCCGCTGCCTTTTCCATCTCTCTTGCTTTCGCTATCCATCACTGTTCATGATCATTGGGTAGGTTTTTTTTATCAGCCTGCGCTTAAGCTGACTTCGCTCTTTGTCATAGTCAGAGCCAGACGGAATGAGTTTCTGAGCATCCATCAGTTCAGTGGATACTAATGAGATCTACAACTTCTTCCTAGCCTTATAGTTTACCTTACTAGCAGATCTCATTACTGTTTCCACAGCTTTTTGGATATCATTCCAAGCTGCCTCGGGGTGAGCATCACTTATGTGGTATTACTAAACAATTATTGGACAATTATTTAACTCTTCAAAAGTGATTAGAAATGTATTAGTTGTAGTTGGTTTTATATTTATTATGTCTCTCTTGTAATATCGAAATTTAGGACCGATATGTAGTGTATATTATCATCATCTCTCGATCTAAAACAATCACTACGAAAGTACATTGTCTTCTTTATGGACATGTGGTCACGTTAGTCAGTTCGTTGTAATAAATTACAACGAACTGACTAACGTGACAACATGTCCATAAAGAATACAATGTACTTTCGTAGTGATTGTTTTAGATCGAGAGATGATGATAATATACACTACATATCCGTCCTAAATTTCGATATTACAAGAGAGACATAATAAATATAGAACCAACTACAACTAATACATTTCTAATCACTTTTGAAGAGTTAAATAATTGTCCAACAATTGGTTAGTAATACCACATAAGTGATGCTCACCCCGAAGCAGCTTGGAATGATATCCAAAAAGCTGTGTAAACAGTAATGAGATCTGCTAGTAAGGTAAACTATAAGGTTAGGAAGAAGTTGTAGATCTCATTAGTATCCACTGAACTGATGGATGCTCAGAAACTCATTCCGTCTGGCTCTGACCTATGACAAAGAGCGAAGTCAGCTTAAGCGCAGGCTGATGAAAAAAACCTACGCAATGATCATGACCAGTGATGGGTAGCGATAGCAAGAGAGATGGAAAAAGCAGCGGCGATAGGTAATAGTAGACAACTGTTCCGACTTATCAATGAAACCGGTTTTAGTAATAGCAAACCTTTTTTGGATGTCTGGTTTCGACACCGAAAAAGGATTTGTCGGTATAAATTGTTTGTTTAGAATTTAGTCGATAAGGTTTTGAGAATTATCTGGTGTTTCACCTGAGAGAAATTGTCTTCTTCTTCTGACTATTTTACTAGGAATTCATATTCAGCACTCACGTTAACTGGCTAGCATAATTCACAATTGCACAATAGGTGTAAGGTTATAGACCTTTATTAAGTCAGTCAGGACGTGGTCACTTTGTCAAACTTTAACTTGTGAGTGAGGATACACTATATGACGCGAGTGTAAACGTAATGTCTGGCAGCAGAAGATGAGGGAAGATCAAGAAGAAAGGAAGAGTGGGAACACAATGGAATTTGTATGAAACGCATGAATAGTGAAATGTCAGACAATGGATTGATGATGGATTGAAGATTTGCAAATTAACCGTTTACGATATGGTTTTCCTATTTTACTGAGTAATTTTCGTTAAATACAATTCGGTTGCCCTCACCTGTGTTCTCCTTCGCTACAACACATCGAATAGAAGCCTAAAAAAGCAGTACATTATCTACATAGATTAGGAGACGCTAGCTAAATCTACTTCTAAATTGCAAAACATTTACAACCTACCAAATTGTTTGATAAACACAGCTTCAGAATTATCTAATTCATCTGATTCTACTTCGTCAGATTCTTGTTTTATGGGTAGATCTGTTGGAAATCCAACAGGGCATACAGAAGAACTTGCAGCATTTGCAGCTGCAACAATTGGCTCAGTAGATTTCTCGTTCACCAGCATCACGTTCTTCCGGAGGATTCCAGATGGGTTTTTATCGAATTCCGCTTCAATACGTGCTAAAATAGGTTTGATTGCATTCCAGGCACGAGAAATTACACGATGATGGATTAGAGTTGGTAGGAATTAGACAAATATTGAGAGTTATATAAGCTAAAGTGACGCCAGAAACATACAGGCTAAGTATGATACATCCAATGCTGGCAGTGCTTGAAATAATGAAAAACTAAATAAATATTATCCAGAAAGTAAAAAAAATACATCATTAGAACTAATCGAATCACATTAATTAATATAATAGATAATAGATGTGTAAAAAGAACAACATTAAGATGTTATCAACAATATGAAAAATGTATAGCTTTCGATAGTACTATCTAATCTGAGTGCTGACAAAATGCAGAGTCTTCTGACCTACCATAAGCAACTAATGCGAGCTATGTTCGGGATGCGGTTTCTCACCCTCGAAATGCAAAATGTTGCTGCTTCAAGACTGGCTTGCATCGGCACCTGAACTAGTAGTGATAGGGAGTGAAGTAGTCGAGCGTGTTGATCACTTCACTCATCTAGGGAGTCTCATCAGTGATGATGGCCTGGTGACTGATGAAATCTCAGCCCGGATACAGAAAGCTCGATCGGCTTTTGCCAACCTGCGTCACTTATGGCGTAGGCGTGATATCCGTTCGTTAACCAAAGGACGAGTGTACCATGTAGCAGTTCGCTCCGTCCTATATGGCTGTGAATCATAGCCGTTAAGAGTAGAGGACTTTTGTGGGTTACTAGTATTCGATCATAGATGTTTAAGAAGCATTGCTCGTATACCGTGGGACAACCGAGTGAGCAATGCTGTCGTTAGGAAACGGGTGCTAGGTAAGGATGGCAGATCAGTTGATGAAGTGGTGAAACTTCATCAGTTGAGGTGGTTGGGGCAAGTGTTACGTATGGCTAACCATCGACTGCCTCGACGAGCTGTTTTGTGGTGTAGGATTAAGTTGGAAGAAAGGTAAAGGGCGGCCTAAAGAAGACATGGCACATATCCATGAAGTCACTGATAAGTTGATTGAGTCATGTTGGTAGATTTAGACGAAAGTCACTAATGGTGAGAGACCTTGAACGACATGGCTCAAAATCGTTTGCAATGGCGCAAGTGCATCCACTCTTTGAGCTCTCTCAAATCCTAATCTTCTGGATTCGTCAGCACTTTCTCTACATTCTTTGTCATTCTAACCTTATCTCACTGAATTATACTTCTTGAATAATATCTTCGAACCCTAGTCTTCTTCATTACCATTAATACCTCTACTATCTTTATGACTATGGGATTTGATTTGACATTTGCGTCTCTGTGCTCATGTGGTATGGCAACATGAACTTATGTACATACGTACGAAGTTCTATGTTGCAACTGACTGACTGACTGAATCTGAGTGCAGAAATTCAAGTCATTGAGTCGTGCCATTTTAACCGTCCCGTTGATTGATACTATTTTGGTTATCTGTTAGAATTTGTTATTGATGAAGGCAATAGACTATTATGAGTTATAATATTGGATCACTCATCTATCTCTTGAAACCAATAAACTCGAACTTGTGGCCTATTGGTTGAGAGATCGATGTTTGAGTTATTATAATGTTATCCAGATTTTAAAAGTAGCCAGAAAAACATCCATCAAGACTGTTTCCAGAATGTCAGCAATGGTAAATTTGGAGAGAAGTGGTAAGGTAGGGCAACCCTCCTTATCCCACTGCTTAAATGAAACAGTGTAGTGTGATATGCTGGATCAGTGGCTATCGTATTGCAACAATGTGTCCACACAGTCAGTATTGGCTGTTTTCAATTGAGTGATCTGTTACCCCCTATTGCTCGTTAGACAGCCCTGTTATTTGCTTTTGTTCCGGTGATGCTAAATAATCGTGCGTAAAAGACGCAGTGCTTAAGGGAGCTTGTCCTCTGAAGACTTTAAGGGATTAGACTCCTTGGTTAAAGGTTCAACGAATAACTCCCTAAGAAAACCGTTTGCTACGGTTTGCGCACCCACTTATTATCCCAGCTCACCCACGAATCTATTGATGTATAGAGCATAAATACTGAGGTGCCCTTCTGTGCCAATAATCAGATGTTCAAATAATAATCATAATAACTCTTAGGGACATTTCAGACGGTGGTGGTGGGACAGGTATATTGCTACAAATAAACAAACTTAACGAGATAAAACTAACGTACCGTAAGTTTATTAAAATGTAGCTTTTATTTCATGAGATTACGTATTCATTAGAGATATTGTATAGATCTAAATTGTAATTCAATGATATAACCCCAAAGTAGTATCAGAAAATGCTAAACACTATTCCACATTTTTTGCAGTAATTCTAATTCTAACTCCTAACTTCAAAATCTGCTGCTAATAATTACGTATATATGTGTAAGCTACCGTAAATTTTAATCGACACCAGAAAAAAAAAGTGAAAGCTAACAATGCTCACCGAGAAAGGATGATTTCGATGACACGGGGCAAGTTTATTTGCAATATTAAGTACACCATAAAGACAGCTAGATATCCAATGGCTAAGATCAATAGCAGACATGATGCTCCCATTTTCCAGGCAAATGGTAACAAGTTCTGAGAATGAACCAGGTGAAGGCTTAGAATCTAAGACAAGAATTAGGAATTTCTTTTATTAGTTTAATTGTTGCTTGCAAATGGTGAATTAGGAAAATAGTCTTCTTAGATCTAAATACATATAAACTCACCATACTAAACAAACTACTCGTGCCCCTGAGTCCTATTTGGATAGTGAAACTGTGATAAGCTACTTGTGATGTGTGCTAATGTACGACAGTTTACTCTCATATACAATTCTAATTAGAATAGGATTAAACCAAGGCAAAGATAAAAGCGGTTAAAAAAAGACGTGGAACTAGCCTACGAAAATACTAGTTGTTAATATAAGTTATGTATGAAACAAGATAGTGTGGTGCGCGCTACTTATAAGTAGTATATGATGCGCGTGAAAACGTAATGTCTGGCAGCAGAAGATGGGGGAAGGGTGGGAAGGGTGGGAACACAGTGGAATTTGTATGAAACGCATGAACAGGGAAATGTCAGACAATGGATTGAAGATTTGCAAATTAACGGTTACGATATGGTTTTCCTATTTTACTGAGTAACTCTGTAATTTAGGATAAATACAATTCGGTTGCCGTCACCTGTGTTCTCCTTCACTACAGTAGTGATACTATCCCTGACTAAGGTCTCATCACATGGTTGAAAGATGAAATTTTCGGTATTGCAAAAAAATTATTACCCGATATGAGACAAAGGGTAATAAGAATGTTTGAGTCCGTTTGCATCAAACTGGGCTGCATCTCTTGCTATCCTATGCCATACGATATGTATACCATATGCTATACTGCTATATAGAGCTGAAGATTTCCTATGAAACAACAGGTTCATTGTGAACATTGTGGATGGTTTAGGCATTACTTCGGCAAGTATTGCTAACAGTCCATATTCAAAACTGGTTAGCAGGATGATCAATTTCATTGATACTGGTGGTTGTTTTGCAACATTTCCAAGGGTCATTGTCACTCAGGTGCTGTATTGCACATATCACCATTGCTAATAATAATGAGTTTGACAGTCATGTAAGCGAAATGTGTTGAATTGGCCTGTTCATGCTGTGCGTATTGATTGACCCAATCATGGATCTCAAATAATCACTATATATATACTAGTGTATATAAATGATATGATGATGAATGGTCCACCAAGCTATCAGGTACCTGTGTGGTTGCACCACGGGATTGAGCCGAACTGTTCATGTCGAAATGCTAACACGTGAGCAGTCTCCTTGGTTCTCCTGAAAACCAATGTAAAATTGCCATTGACAATAGAGGGTTAATTTATATAAATGTGAGTAAACTGGTAGATCCTGCCAATAGCTTGTCTTAGAGATTAGGCCATGTATATCTAAGTACATACCTTAACGAAGCAAGTTAAACGAGTTTGTCAAGTTTCTCAAGATGACAGAAATTACTGACAACAGATCACAAGGGTTGTAAACGAATACAATGACATAGATGCAACTACTTGGTTTTTCGAATTTCGAATGTTTTCAATAAGCAGTTGACTGGTAAAAATGCTGATGGTCACATCTCTTTTTATAAAATTCTATAGTCAAACTTTGGCGTGAAGACGGAATGTAGAAGTCATCTATTCGTCTAAAAATCTTCAAATGGACCAGTAAACAATCTAGTATCATCCAGCCTTACCGGATATGGCGTCAGAGTTTGTCACATGAAAGTCGGCTAAACTTATGATAGCAGAAACAAGATTTTACAGCTTATATGCAAACCACTAAAAATAAATTTCCGAACAATTAAGTACGATGAAGAAAGGAACAGTTCACAGTCATTTAGATAGATAAACTGTAACCTTTTAGTAATATATATCAATTTATGTAGATGAATAATTGTTTGTACGTATACAAAACTTAGCAGTAATCTCAACAACCTATGGCTAATCAAACGAAACTGTTGATGCCAAACACTATGCACCAATTTATAAGGTTTTCTAATAAAATCCATGTCATTTTTTACTGATAAAAAAAAGATTGATTTACTACATTTGTAGTGAACGTGAACACAGGTGGGTCAACCGGATTGTATTTAGCGAAAATTACAGAGTTACTCAGTAAAATTGGAAAACCATATTGTAAATCATTCATTTGCAAATTATCACTCCATCCTATCCATTGTCACTATTCATGCATTTCATACAAATTCCATTGTTTTCTAACTCTTCCTTTCTTGATCTTACTCCATCTTCGGCTGCCAGACATTACGTTGACGCTCACGACATATACTACTTATAAGTAGCTCACACCACACATTTAACACGAAAAACAATATCAGCAGAACAACAGATTTTTGGCAAAATATGAATTATGTTACTGAACCCTACTACTTTCTCATTTACATTGAGAAATCAAGTCAGTAACAAATGTGAATAACCTCAACTACATGAATAATTTCTGAATGCTATATATATTCCAAGAAAATTAAATGCGTGACACACATAAACTTTGTAATCACGTACCATCAAAAAGCTTTGCCATTAGAGGTTGTAAGAGGTTGCATAATAGTACAAGAAACAACGCCAGACAGAAAATAAACAGTGTACTGAAGTTGCTATTTACAAATGATCTATAAATAACGACTGGTAATTTGAAACTCACAAGAACACAAGGTGTACAAATGCTGTGAAAACAAAACTTGGGACTATACGCTCCCACAGAAGTATTGTCTGGATGCGAAGAATTATAAACTCCCACTGACTTAGAACACTATAGACATCATAGAAGAACTTTTCATGAGGACTTGACATTGTGATATTCGGCTGTTGGTAGGTTAGTAACTAACCTGGAGGTACGTCTTAAATTCAGTATAAGGAAGCTTGTTTGTGAAAATCTAGGAGAGGGGAAGAGCAAAAGAAAGACAATTTAGTAGGTATATACGATGCGTTAAAGGTTAACAATGAAAGCAACCGAAAAGTGTTAGCAGTGACGCAAGCGAGAAGGAACGCCTGAGAGTCGAGACCAGGATATAATAGAATTTTGAACATGCTATATTTCAACTATGCCCAGACAGTTTTCTGTGTTATACAAAGCTATCTTATGGAACTTGTTATCAAAAAGCATTAGTGAATTAGTATCACCATGGCCTCTTTCACAAGGACTATGGAACAGCAGACTTCGCTTAGTCAAACCAATACCGGGTTTTTGAAAGTAATGGTTATCCATGTGCACATCTAGTTGCATTTAGACAGTGCACTCTAAAACAACAAGAAACCAAATGATATTTAGTTTTCGAAGTGAACAAACTAATGGACGACAAACCAATGTTATCTCTTAGATATATTCTGACATACATCTTCAGTTCTCCTTGGGTAAGGGTGCCCACTGGGCCTTTAAGAACGGAGCTAATCCTCTAAATACCTCTCATAAAAAGGCCGTGCGTGACCGGCCTGAAGCAGTTGTCCCTTGGACTCTACGGTCACGCACCAACACTAATCCATCTTGCTTTTCAGGTTCGTCAAGAAACAACCTTCCACGGTGTGGGCAGCCGGGAAGTGATAACCGCCCTCATACCCGCAATAGCACACGAGACAAAATTGTTCAAAATCAAATCCTTCCTACATTCCCTAATACCTCTCTTATCTCCACAACTAACTCTTCTCACATTCATTTATCACAGTGCACAGCTAATGCAAACGATGCGAGTTCGCGAAAAGTCGTTCCTGGTCTCCTTAAACCCCGTTCCAAACTACATGTTGGAGCATTCAATGTACGGTCATTGTGTCAAATACGGCAACAGACATCATTAGCTAGGACTTTAGAATCTCGTTCCATCGATGTGTGCTGCGTCTCGGAAACGCGCATACACGATCCGAGTAGCATCACTCATTTGACCTCACCATGTCAAGATAAAGAAGCAGCTCGATTTACCCTTCGTGTATCCGGTAGCCCTGATGCTGCTTCTAGGGGCCTCGCCGGTGTAGGTATAGCATTGAGTCGTAGGGCAGAACAATCTCTCCTTGACTGGATCCCTGTAGATAGTCGCTTGTGCGCCGTCCGACTCAACGGGACAGTAAGGACTCGGAAAGATAGGGACACTCGCCGTTGCCTCTTCGTCATATCAGCCTACGCCCCCACTGACTGCAGCCCAGATGATGTAAAAGATGAGTTTTACAGAAAGCTTTCGGACCTCCTCCAAAAAGTTAAGCGCTCTGATATAGTTATAATGGCTGGTGACTTCAATGCACAAGTAGGTAGACTAAGTGAAAATGAAAGACACCTAGGTGGATGTTACGGTCTCGCGGCTCAAAGAACAGACAATGGCGACCGTCTGTTGCAACTGTGCTCAGATAACCAACTATTTCTAGCAAACACTAATTTTAAGCATAAAGAAAAACACCTTTTGACCTGGCGACCCCCGAAGTCGTCTCAACGTTGGACACAACTAGATCATATCGCCATCAGCCACCGATGGAGGGGTTCGATAGAGGACTGTCGCTCGTTCTGGAGCACATGTTTAGATTCAGATCATGCCCTAGTGCGAGCACGTATTTGTTTGAGGCTTGCTGGACGTAGGAAAGACACCGTAAGGAAGCCTCTTAGGGCTTTACTTGATGATAATCAAGCTAAGAAAATATTTCAGGAGGAACTAGAAAAACAGTTGGGCGATCATGCAAGTGATTCCCATCCTGAAGCAGGTTGGAATGATATCAAGAAGGCTGTGGAAACAGCAGTGATATCTGCTAGCAAGGTAAACCATAAGGCTAGGATGAAGCCGTGGATTTCAGTCGCATCCACCGAACTGATGGATGCACGAAAACGCATCCCACCTGACTCTGAACATGATGAAGAGCGTACTCAACTTAGGCGCAGACTTATAAAAAGCCTACGTAACGACCGTGAACAGTGGTGGGTGGCGAAAGCAAAAGCGATGGAAAAGGCAGCGGCGATAGGCAACACTAGACAACTTTTCCGCCTTATCAAAGAAACCGGTATTAGGAACCCGAATGTAAGTGAGACTATCTCGGAAAAGGATGGTCTTATTATCCATTCTCAATCTAGGAGGCTGGACCGATGGGCAGAACACTTTAGGGATCAGTTCAACTGGCCTTCAGCCACTCTTCGGTTGCCCACGATTTGCCATTCAGGATGACTGGAGATCGTGGGCAACCGAAGAGTGGCTGAAGGCCAGTTGAACTGATCCCTAAAGTGTTCTGCCCATCGGTCCAGCCTCCTAGATTGAGAATGGATAATAAGACCATCCTTTTCCGAGATAGTCTCACTTACATTCGGGTTCCTAATACCGGTTTGTTTGATAAGGCGGAAAAGTTGTCTAGTGTTGCCTATCGCCGCTGCCTTTTCCATCGCTTTTGCTTTCGCCACCCACCACTGTTCACGGTCGTTACGTAGGCTTTTTATAAGTCTGCGCCTAAGTTGAGTACGCTCTTCATCATGTTCAGAGTCAGGTGGGATGCGTTTTCGTGCATCCATCAGTTCGGTGGATGCGACTGAAATCCACGGCTTCATCCTAGCCTTATGGTTTACCTTGCTAGCAGATATCACTGCTGTTTCCACAGCCTTCTTGATATGATTCCAACCTGCTTCAGGATGGGTATCACTTGCATGATCGCCCAACTGTTTTTCTAGTTCCTCCTGAAATATTTTCTTAGCTTGATTATCATCAAGTAAAGCCCCAGGG